ATCTGTGCTCATAACTACTTTGAAATTATGGCTCTTATTAGACTTACCAATAGATCTTGTTATTAAAGCAATAATAAATCTATATATTCCCTTATGTAAATAAATATAACTATACTACAAATTGTTTAAAAAATAACAGCTAATAAAAATAATTTAAATTTTGATTTCATTGGTTTCCTGTGTGATTTTATTTTATGCACTTAAAAAGATTTCTGTAAGATGGGGCCCCAGTGGGTTTAAGGCACAGAACAACTAAGAACTGGCAGGTAGAACAGTGCCCAGTACACTAAGAGTGGTGGTGCATGCCCTATAACCCCACATACTACACATATTGGGAGGCTGAGGCAGGAGGACTGCAGGCTGGTCAACTTAGTGAGACTTTGTCTATAAACAAACAACAAAAAAAATGATGGCCAATAAATGAATGAATGATATGTTTCTTCTTCCTTCCCAGTAAGTCCGCTGCATTTTTAGGGTCAGGTTTCTGGTGACTTGGCATCAAGTCCATGTCTAGGAATGAGCCCGTGTCAAGGTCTTTTAGAAACCTACTCTTAGACCCTTACACTGAGAGTGACATTTATGACAAGGCCCTGGCTGTTCTCTTGCCTGTGTTTCTGGGTGCATCTGCTCCCCCGCTCGCCTCTCTGATCAGCCTGCCCCTGCAGGACCACCCTCTCCTCCTGAGAACACACTGCCTCGGGTTGGTGGGCCAACAAAAACTGAGGTCTCAGGGTTCTGAGTTCCCAGGAGGGTAGGCGGCTGCCCTGGTTCAGTTGTGGTCTGCCTGGGACGCACCGTCCCCCTGTTCAGGGCCCTCCGCTCAGGTGGAGATGCGGTGGTTCGGGGAGAGCCGGGCTGAGCTTAGATCTGATGGGAGGCTACACCCACAAGCAGGCATTGTATCTCAGCTGGGCTGCTGGGTGGAAGTTGGATGGATGGGGGTTTCTCTGGGTTTGGCAAGCATGTTCCATTCCGCTTGGTTCTGTTATTTCTTAGCATGTGAAAGATCACTTATCTGAGAGTCGCTGTCCATAACTTACACTGTTCCTGTCAGTGGCGAGACATGCAGGAGTCAGATCGGAAACAAACCCTGTCTTTCTTCCCAGCTCAGGATCGCACATTGCGGCCGCCGTGTCTCTGGGGGGACCGGGGCCACTCCGGGGCGGAGGGTGTCTCTTGGCAGTGGTGAGTCCGGCACCTTGAGTGCTGCAGCCCTGCGTTTGGACTCCTGAGACTGGGCTCCCTGGACTTGGAGCTGGAGCCCACCGCTGGGAATCTGCTTCACAAAGCATCGCGATGCTCTTTCTTGAACATTTAAAGCTATGTTTTTTTGTTTTTTTTTGGTTTGAGGAAAGGAGAATAAGAATAAATGGATAGAAATAGGATCAGGCTAACGCTAATGGTGACTAATAACCTTGGTCAAGCGCTGGCCACGTGCCTGGCCTGTCACGTGCACGCCCTTTTCCAGTCCCCACCTGGGCTCTTGCAGGTGGCCACAGCAGGGACAAGTGAGAGCCCAGACCCAGGGTTTGAACTCCCTCATCCTTCCATCCGCTAGCAGGAAGTCACATGACTTCTCCGTTCCGCATCTTCCGGGGAATCCGAGCAGTTTCTGCCTCCTGAGGCTGTCGCGAAGATGAAATGAGCTAGAAGCAGAATGCTCAGGTTGTACCTCGTCCAGTGTCGGCGCTCGCTGCCAGCGCTGCCACTGAGTGGGGGGGAGTGGGTGGGGCGGGCAGCGGGGAGCCAGCGGCTGGCAGAGCGCAGGGGAACCTGTATACCTCGTCCTGTCGGCGCTCGCTGCCAGCGCTGCCACTGAGTGGGGGGGAGTGGGTGGGGCGGGCAGCGGGGAGCCAGCGGCTGGCAGAGCGCAGGGGAACCTGTGTTGGAGGGCTGGGTGAGGCCGGAGGGGTACGGAGGATGAAGCCCTTGCTGCGTGGCAGGCTGAGCAGGTTGGGCCTCGGGCCTGCGCTTCCCTTGGGGAGACCCACGCAGTGCCAGGCTCAGTGGGACGGAAGCAAAGCCTTGAGTCCAGCATTGGACCCATTGAAAGAGTCTGTCTCCCACTCAGCCTTCCACGAGACTGGGAGGCCCAGCCGGCTGGGCTGGTCCTGTTTACCCGGCCTACACTGGGTGGTTAGTCTGGTTTGCTGCAGGGACTGACCTGGGCTTGTGCTGCCTTTAAGCGTTTGGACTGGGTTTACTCTCATCTCAGTTTTTGGATTCCCCATTTTGAAGTCGGGGCTGCTCCTCCCCTCTCACGCCTGTTTCTCCTTTGTAGAAATCCCCGGAAGCTTGCTTATTCGTATGACTCTTCTCTGTTATCATGTGCTAATACAATAGGTTTTAAGATTTATTTGATCATTTAAAAAGGAATCTTAAACATGCAAATCGAGACACTGCACGCAGTGGAGGTCGGGGTGCTTCTTTTATGGTGCTGCAGTCCAGACGTCATAGAATCCGGTTTCTGGAGCCATGCACCTGTCGCCACCATCCAGTTTTAGGACGTCTCCATCACTTTAAAAACACCCTCGTGTCCCTCTGCAGTCGGTTCTACTTCTGCCCTGCTGGTGTGCGCTTTTGTCTCTTCTCTATAAACTTGCCTTTTCTGCGCATGGAATTCAACAGCACATTCTTCTGCATCTGACTTCTTTCCCATAGTGTGAAGTTTCTGAGGTCTAATCATGTTTAAGCTTGTGTCCGTATTTCATTTCTTTTAATAGCCGAGTAGTTTCACATTGCGTGGATGGCTCCCACTGCGTATCTGTTCACCAGAGGTGGACATTTGAATTGTTTCCAACTTTTGGCTTTTATCCGCAACCATTCTGTAAATGTCCAGGCACACACTTCTGAGTAGTTACATGTTTCTGTGTGTTTCAGGTAGATACCTAGGAGGAGAGTTGCTGGATTGTAGGGTAAGCTTTTGATTAACTTTTTAAAAAACTGCCGGATTATTTTCCAAAGTGGTCGTGTCATTCTGCCTTAGGACTGCGTGAGGGTTCCATTTCTCCACTGTAGCCACCCTAATGGGTGTGAAGTAGTTTGCCTTCCTGGTCTTGATGTACATCTCCCCGATCCATTTTCCCTATTGTTCGTGTATGTGTTATCTTTTGTGACATTTCTGAGTCTTTTGTGTGGCTGCACCTTAAACCCTACCAGCCGTGGTCGTATGGTCCTGGGTGACAGGGAGCATGGCTTCTCCCAGGACAGAAATGATTAAGAAATGAGTGTTCTCAGCCTGTCCCCTCTCCTTGCTCATGAAATAAGATTTGGGCCTTTCAGCTCTAGTTTTGACTCTTTACTTTGTTACTACTAAATTATCAAGCAATTGACAGAGTTATAAACTTTGTCATATTTGTTTTATCTCTGCTCATGCGTGTTTTGCCAACCCATTTGAAAGTGCGCTGTAAGCTCATTTTGTCTCTAAATTCTGCCCTGGGCACTGCCTACTAATAAAGACCTCATCCTACTCACTACCACAGGGCTCTCACATCTAGGAACTCAGCATAACTCAGTGATATCTAGGGTTCACTCACCTTTTCCCATGTGACCCCCCCAATGGTTGTTTATAGGGAAGACTTGTTCTTCTGAGTTCAGGGAAGAAGGGGAGGCAGAAGGCTTCAGGACAGTGCTGGGCAGGTGCAGTGGGAAAGGAAGACACCAGAGCAGCTGGGGTGCTAGAGGAGCCGTGGTCAGATGGAGATGTGGAAGGAGGAGCCCAGTGTCTTTGACATTCCTTTGGGCTGCTCTGATGTTCACTGCTGTGTGACAGGGCTTGGGGGTTCAGCGAGTGAAGGTTGCGCTGGCATTTTCTGTCTTTCCTGGTCACCTCTGGTCTAAGTCTTACCCTTCAAGAGCACTCTCCTCGTGGGCAGTATAGATTCTTCATGTCAAGTCCATCGTCAAGTCCGAGTCCAAGTCAAGTTCATTGTCTTTGCTCACCAGTCTGCTGTGCCTCCTCAGCCCGTTCCTTGGTGAAGGGTACCCCATCCTTCTGGCACCTCAGGCTGGAAGCCATCACCTCCAGCTCATCGCCCTCACTCCATGTCGGTTTCTGTGGAATCTCTGTCCTTTGTCTCTCAGTCTGTCTACTTCTCTGTGACTGCACTTCTGCCCTGTGGCTCAGAGGGCCACCCTGTCTCTTACCTGGATAATGGCAGTTGGTTTCCTGGCCACCTTCCTGCTGAAAAGCTGAAGCTGCTAGCTGTTCTCTGGGTGTTGGGATGGAATGGTTACTCTGGAGCAGGGTGCACATGGTGTGGGAGATCCAGTTCTGCCTTGGGTGGGCCAAGCATGGTACTCAGAAGAGACCTTATGCAAGTCTCGAGTGATGGTGGTGAGACAGTGTGAGCAAAAGCGCCAAGGCGTGATTGACTCACCTCTCTGTGCCTCAGTTTCCTCACATGAATTGTGAGTGCAATAATCGGGCCTACCTCAAGATTGTGGGCAGGGTTAAGTGAGACCACAGATGCCAGTTGTGTGGCAGGTGAGGAGTGCTGTGTGGGGTCAGCTGCCATCCAGGGTGTCACTGAGGAGGCAGTGTGGTGCCCAGGGGAGCAAGAGAGGATCAGTTTGTCTTCTCCATGTCATCTTTGCCTAAAAGGTCATAGGCTCTGGTGCTTGCGAAGGCAGACATGTACTGAAATGATCACACAGGCCAGGTGGGAGCCAAAAGCTCCTCCAGTGCAAGGGGCAGCCCCTGCTCAGCCTACCTGGTGGTCACCACACAGCATTATAGGCCAGTGCTACTAGAGAGTCAGAGATGGAGAATTCTATGTGAAACCCAGTTTTTACATGTTGGTAATTAATTTTAAAAAGACTAAGACGCTACACAAGTCTGCTGCACTACATCAGTGGGCCACATTTACCATGAAGACTGCCAGCTTATGGCCTTGCTTTTGCGTGGCCTCCTGGGTAATCTGCCGAGTCTGGCATAGCTCTCCCCTCAAGGGCGGGGTTGATGCCGAGACCTGGTTTTTATGAGCTCCTTTTTCTTGCAGGACTTCTCTAGGCAGGTTATGTCACCAGCAGAGGCTGCCCTGAAGCTCCCTGCGGCCTGGAGACTATGTACAAGAGGAATGGTCTGATGGCTAGCGTGTTGGTCACCTCTGCCACTCCACAGGTATGGAGGCTGCGATCAGGATTGGGCGGGGGCTTCAGCTGACCCAGGCCCTAGCTGAGACACGGCAGCAAGGCCACAGGCTCCCATTGAATGCCACCATTCTTAGTACTCCCAAGGTCCCTGGCCACACTAGGTGTGAGATTTGGGAGGCAGTCAGCCCTAAGGATCAGTGTGTTTTCTGAAGCTGTTCTCTTCAAAGAAAACCAAATACCTGCTCGGTCTAGCTGTAGCAAGTGCCACATTCCATTTTGATGGCAAGAAGGGATCGGACCTTTCCCAGGAAAAGCTGCTCCTGATTATAAATAAGTCTCGCATTCCGGAATGAAGTCAGACAGAACTCATTCCAACTGGCCCGTGCTCTTATTTACCTTTCTCCATAGGAAATGGCTGTGAGGACTGGTGATCTGAGGGGGACCTGGACCAGGGCCCTCGTGTGGGGCTTGGAAGTTTGCGCTCCACACTCAGTAACAGAACTGACATGCAGGGGCAGCGGGTGTCATCTGAGGCTTGGAGCCTCTGTGACAAGTGTGTGATGCCTGGCACCTGTCACACCCTGGCCAGGCCGTGCTGGGTCCTGGGCTCACATGAAGCGAGGCTTTTGAAACAATCCACGGTAACTGCACAGAAAGCCATAGGAGCCAGTTTGTTTCTTACAAATCTTTCCAAAAATGCCTAACGTTGAAATCAAATTTGTGGCCCAGCACTAGGGAGGCTGAGGCAGGAGGATCGCTGTGAGTTCGAGACCAGCCTGGGCTGCATCGTGAGTTCCAGGTCAGTCTCAACTACGTGGTGAGACCCTGTCTCAAAAAAAAAAAAAGGAAAAGAAAAGAAATCAAATTTGTGGGTGCTTTTAAAAATGTGTGGGGCCAGTATAGTTCATAAATAAAGTTACTGCACCATCATCATCATCATCATCATCACCAATTAAAAGATTTAGGGCAACTTTTGACTAAAAGCATCCCCTTGAATGAGTATACATGTGGGGCAGGTAGTGTGGGGTGTTACAGGAAAGTTACAAACCTGAAATCCCAGGAATGGGTTTTCATAACTAGAAGAATCAGATTTCTGTTTCCATCTATAATTTCTACTCCATCCAGACTAAAACTCCTATCTTCTATGTCCTGTGTGTGTGTGTGTGTGTGTGTGTGTGTGTGTAGACCGATGTATATACGCACATGCACACACTGAGCATAGTCGGCCTTCCGTGTTCTTGGAATCCACTAACCAGGGGTCAACAATACTCACACAAAAGTTCCATGTGTACTGAACATGCACAGAACCTTTTCTCATTGTTTTCCTAAATAATACAGTGTGACAATCATTTATATAACGTTACGTTTCATTAGGTTTTATAAGTAATCGAGAGATGATTCCAAGTGTATGGGAGGATGTGCAAATACTAGGCCATTTTATACAGCAGACTCGAGCGTCCTTAGATTTTAGTATTCTTGATGGGTCCTGGAACCAATCCCTTGCAGATACTGAAGACCACTGCATGCATATGTGCGTGTATCCAGCACATGGTACGCACTCCACAATGTCTGTCGAATGACTGAATGAACACAGGGATAATGAAGCACTCATTAAATCTCGGTGACTGAATGCCGCATTCACACCCACGCACGCCCGTAGCTCAGTGCCTACTCTGTTCCAGGCACTTTGTTAGCATGTTCCACAGGCGTCTTCTCATTTCACCCCGACGGTAACCCCCTCAGCTGTGTAGCTGAGGTTTATGGATGAGCAGCCCGAAGCGCACAGAGGTAAACACGCTGCTCTGAGCCCACAGCTGGCCAGGCAGGTGGGTTCAAGGCAGGCCTCCCAGACCCTTGAGCTGGCGCCCTTAGCCAGAACGCACGCTGTCCCAGAGGAAGTCAGCACTGTCATCCAGTTGAGCCGCTTCCCAGAAGGTGAATGGAGGCAGCGCAGAGATTTATAGACCTTTACCTTCTCAAGGTCAGCACTTAAGACTGAAAGGTGGAAGGGGCCAGGCATGTAGCTCAGCGGCACTGTGCCTTCCTGGCAAGCGCAACGCCCCGACTTCAATTCCCAGCACCAAAAAAGAAAAGAAAGCAAAACAAAACAAAAGACTGGAAGACGGAAACAAGTGCTGATTCCGGAAGTTTTTAGTACTTTTCAGACTTACTCTGACCCAGATGATTTTCTTGTCACCTGTGACACTTTTTGGGGGGCAGTACTGAGGATTAAACCCAGGGCCTTTGCACTGAGCTACATTCTTAGTCCCCTTTTAAAAAAATGTTTCTTTTGAGACAGGGTCTTGCTAAGTCACTAAGTTTCCCAGGGTATACTTGAGCATGCGGTCCTCCTGCCTCAGGTTCCCAGGGAGCTAGGCATGCACCACTGTGGCAGGGTTAGGATAGCCAGGTCTTGAGTCAGCACCTGTGTCCCTGAGAGGGGGATTCTGCCAGGTGGACTCGGCTTCATTCAGTCACCCGTGCCACCAGGCTGGGATGTGAGATTTGACACCACTGTGTCACGGACGGTGAGTGAGCCTCCCCAGAATGAAGCCACTTGCCTGAGTTCGTGTAGACGGCAGTGCGAATCTGGCTTTTTATCCAGGTCTGTCTGATTTCAGAGCCCTCAGCCACTATGGTGAACTGCTCCGTAAGACCAGGGGTTTTCGGTACAGCAGGTTGCTCTGTAAAAGCCTTTCCATGGCACGGGCCTACTGAAGCTGTCAGGTTGTGTTCCTTCTTCTCTCTTTAACTTCACGTTTTTAGTTGTTGACTTGTAGGTTCTCTCACTGGCCTAAAATACTCTTGTTTCCAGTAAGACTGCAGCATTTTTCCAGATAGAGCAATTTTGGAAAAGTAGAATTTAAGGAGGAATTAACAAAAGCATATTCTCTAAATCCTATTCCAAGATGTTGAGGTTAATGGAAACCACAAAACCTTTCTTGATGAGTTGAGACAAATAAAATCACTTATGAACAGGGCACGCTTTTGGGGTGGTAAGCCTGATGGATTCCCCAAAGTGGAGTTTGATTAAATTAAATAAAATTGCAGAGAAGGCACACACAGTGCTCTGAAATCCCCGCGGTGTAGTATTTCATGAAATCAGCCATATTTGGGGCATTTTAACTTGCACCTTTATGGGAGCCCCTTTCTTTACCTGCAGGACTCAGTGTGTCCTCCGTACAAGGGACTCTTCTAAGTGTGACTTTCATGACAGTCTCCAAAGCCCAGTGGTTACCTCTCAGCTCATCAACCAGCAGGCTCTGAGTTCCCAGTGTACCACATGTGAAGTAAACCTCAAATAAGGCCTGGAGGGCCAGTTTTACATTTTGGATAACGATTTCCTGCAGCAAGTTCAAGTAAGAAAAAAATGAAAGCCAGGTGAAATAAGGTCATGTTTGGAAGACGTAAGGGAGCAGAAGCTGTCCTCAGGCCTCTGAGAGGTGGGGACTGTTCTCTCTGAGGGAGGATCGTGCTGGGACTATTTTGTTGCTATTTTTCTGGGGATAGATCCCAGGTTGCATGCAAGGGGGCAAGTCCTATACTGCTGAGCTCTACCCCTATTCCCATGTTGTAACTCTCAACTATTTCAACACCCCTGAGCCCGATACAGTTAGGTGGTAGTGACTGAAAGTATTTTTGTGGGGAGCCAGACAGAAAACTACATTCATATTCTGGCTTATGGTTTTACAGCTCAGCTATCTGAGAGAAGTAACACGCCGCCTGGACTTCCCTATCTGTAAAATGGGAGTAAGGATAGCACATACACATAGGGTAATCACAAGGATTAAGTAACAGCATGCGTAGGAAGTGCTTCACACGGTGCCTGGAGCAGAGGAAAGCCCGACGCAGTGGGAGCTTTTCCTTGTGTGACTGTGACACTCTCACATCCTCTGTTCTGAGGTGGTGTGGGTGGGGGGAGTGCTCCCAGGCCAGACCACTCAGGCGGCGCCATCTCTCTGCGTTTTCCACAGGGCAGCAGCAGCTCAGACTCTCTGGAGGGCCAGAGCTGCGACTATGCCAGCAAGAGCTACGATGCCGTTGTCTTCGATGTCTTGAAAGTGACTCCCGAGGAGTTTGCTGTAAGTGACGCGGAGCTGATGGGGGTGCTGGCATGAACACGGGGTGCTGCAGGGAGCCGCTGCTTTGTGCTTTCTGCCCAGGTCGCAAGCAGTCTGTATACCCAACGAGAGGCAGGTGCACATCCCGTGTGACACACCCCGTGGTGTCCAGAAGGACGGTCTCAGTCTTGGAATCACCGGGGAGGCACACACAGTATACACGACTGTCTAGCCAGAGGAATAGGTCCTAACAGCTGTAGAGAGCAGCATCATTTAAAAAGTGCACATAGCATGCACGCACGCATATTTAGACAAGGTCTAGATCTGATGTTTGCATATTTGTGAATATCTGGATCTATGAGCCAGGCGTATTCCTTCCTATAGTTTAAAAAAAAATTTTTTTGGTACCGGGGATCGAACTCAGGTCCTTGTGCTTGCGAGGCAGGCGGCAGAACCACTGAGCTACATCGCCGGCCCCTGCTTGCTATAGTTTTTAGTTGGAGATTCCAGGTATTTGTAATTTAATTTTTCTTCTTTTTATTTATTTTCACTTTCTATGATTTTATAATTGCCATTTCCAACAATGATAGACAGTATTATTTGAGCAGTTTTGAAAAATTATAACCCTAAAAAATTGTTTTTTCTCCAGCCAGTGTTGCTGCTGGACTGACCAATGGCAGAGCAGAGTTGGCACCTCGTTTTCTCATGACTGTTTCCTCCTTTGGGGCCTTCCTGGTAGGAGGATTTTACTAGCTCTGGGGTGACTTTTCTGAGCAAATTAATATTGTATTGATGCCACATTTTATTTACCCATTTATCTGTTGATGGGCACCTGCACTGGTTCCCTGTCGTGGCTGTTGTGAGTGGTACCTCAATAACACGGTTATGCAGGTAACCCTATAATATGCCGACCTTCATTACTCTGAGTATATATCAAGGCCTGGTATACTGTGTCATATGGTAGTTCTATTTTTAGTTTTTGAGGAGCCTCCAATTGATTTCTATAGTGGCTAATTTACATTCCTACCAACAGTATAGAGGTATTCCTTTTTCTCCTACATTTTTTTTTTTGTATTTTGATAATCATCATTCTAAAGGGGAACTACAATCTCAATGTAGTTTTTTTTTTTTAATACTGGGGATTGAATTTGGGACCTTGCACTTGTGAGGCAGGCGGAGGCACCACTGAGCTAAATCCCCTGCTTAGTGTAGTTCTGATTTGCATTTTCCTAAGGACTAAAGAGGTTGAACATTTTTTCACATACTTCTTGGCCATTTATACTTCTTTTGAGAGGTGTCTACTCAATTAATTTGTCCATTTATTGATTGGGCTATTTAAAATTTTGGTGTTAAGTTTTTTGAGTTCTTCACATATCCTAGATATTAAATCTCTGCTGGAAGAGTAGCTGGAAAAGATTTTTCTCCCATTCTGTGGGCTGTCTTTTCACTTTTTCTGTGCAGAAGCTTTTTAAATTTTATGTAGTCTTATGTGTTGATTTTTACTGTTATATCCTGTGCTATTAGAGTCCTATTCAGCAAGTCTTTGCCTATGCCCATGACTTAAGTGTTTCCCCTATGTTTTGTTTGAGCAGTTTCAAAGTTTCAGGTCCCATATGTACATCTTTGGTCTATTTTGGTTTTGGTTTTGGTTTTCTTTTTTTGGTACTGGAGATTGAACTTGGGACCTTGTGCTTGTGAGGCAAGTGGCAGAACCACTGAGCTAAAATCTCCAGACCTTTGATCTATTTTGAATAGATTTTTGTACCAGGTAATATATAGGGGTATACTTTCAGTCTTTTACATATGAATATCCAGTTTTCCAGTACTATTTGTTAAAGAGACTTTTTCTGTGATGTGTTTTTGGTCCATTTGTCAAGAATCAGATAGCTATAGTTATACAAGTTTGTAGGAAAGATCTTTCTCTCCCTCTCTCATCAATGGAGAATGGAGTAACATAAGTAAGTTAAAGAAAGAAAAAAAAATGTAACCCCAATTTTATATCCAGCAAAACTGACTTTAGAATATCAGGGACATAGGCAGTCCTATCAGGGCTTCACAGAACGTCTTCCTCCGAGCCCTTCCGAGGGATGCACTGGACATCCAGTTTAGACAACAAGAAGGACCAGGAACATATGAGAGAGACCTGTGGAGAGCAGTGAACACACATTTACTTGTAAACCTGAGTGAGGAATAAAACATGGAGTGTATAGTTTGTAAAGGTTGTGCCCAGATAGTAGAGCAGAATGTGACTCAAAGTATAAACTATTTTAAAATGCAGAAAGAGCAGAGAGAACATATGCAAAAATGTCATAATTATTTGCAGTAATTGTATTGGTGATGATATTAGTATTGTGGCTGTTGTATGTTTAATGTAGGGTAAAGTAAATGAACACACGGTATACTGTAATCCTGGTGTTCTCCTGATACTTAAGACCAGGGTTTTGGGTTTTTTTTGTTTGTTTGGTTGGTTTGTTTTTTTTTTTTTTTTGGTT